CATCCATGTACCATACTGATTATCTCTTTTCCCTCCTCCAACAAGCATAGGTTTATCACATGTTTTTTCACTGTGGCCTATTCTGCCACATTTATAGCAAAAATCTGGACACCTCTCATACTTAAAGCTTGCCCATTTTGTACTCCCTGCTACCTTAACAGTTGTCCCTCTCAGCAGAGGTTGTGCAATGTCCATTAGTACTGATAGTTTGAGATGTCTTCCCTCCTTCCCACCCGTCTGTGGGATTATGACATCTCTCACTTGATGGAACATAGCACCAATCCTTCTCCCAGCTTCTTTAGACATCCAATGTACTGGTAAATTCCAAACTTGTACCCAAATTGGTGCCAGATTAAAAGCTGTTTCGTCATCCTCTATACCTTCATACCATCTATTCATTACTAATACCTGGTTATCCAGTATCCAAGGACCTCCATTCATGACTCGGTCCCTGTCATTCTCTCCTGGGAGTATGAACTGAAAAAGGTTAGGCCCTAATTCTGCTACTTTCAGGTCTCTTGGGTAGCTCCAAGCTGTGCTAACAAAGTTCTTAACTCCTGTGTAATTTGCAATCTTTTCGCCCATAATCTTTCCTATGAGGCTGCATTGACACTCCTTAATGCCTATGGCCAGCTCCTCCCTGCCCACATCAGTAACCTGAAGTTCCTTACTCGAAAGCTCAAAGCTTTGCAGTATTTCTGCCAGCTCCTCAGCCATATGCGATGGACTGATTCAATCACCTCCTAAGCAGATCCTATGTTTTCTTTGAAAAATTATAAATAAAGACTTAACAAATTAAATACAGTGTATGCAATGTCAAAGTAAAGGTACGGATTTTGTATGGATTCAAGTTTTTTATGCAAATAAGTTTTTCAATTATAAATCTTCAGTAACACACTTAAAAAAACACCCAAAACTATTTCAAATGCATCTCATAACAAACAAAAATTATCAAAAAAACCAAACAAGTAAATAAAATAATAAATAAAAAACCAAACAAGTAAATCAAAAAGTAAATTAAAAAAAAAAACTGATCTCTCTTGACTACCCATTTTTTACCCTCTCCCTTTACCACTCTTTCCATTTCTACTGCCCTCTAGAAACATCAACCACCTCTTTCTTCCCTTTTCTCTCCTCTGTTCTCTTCCCTTTCCTCTTCTATTCCTCCTCCCCTCCCTCCTTCTCTGCTCCACCCCCCTCCTTTCCTCCTTTCCAAATCAAGTTATGATGATTTGGTCACAACTAGATCTGATTATGATGGAATCTAGGGAAAGTAGGGAGAAACAGGGTGAGAGGGAGAAAAGAAATGGAGAAAAGATAGCAGGGAAGAGAAGAAGGGATGGGAGAAGTCGGATTGTCGGAAGGAGGAGGGAAGGAGGGGGAAAAGTGGCCGACAGGGAAGGAGGAGGAAAGGAGTGGAGGAAGGGGAAGGAAGAGTATAATCTTCAAAATTCTTAAGAACATCCCAAAAAATTTAAAATTTTAAAAACACCTCAAACCATAGCATATGAATAAAGTTTTGTAGATATTATAGGTGAGCTTGATTTTTGAGTATGTTGATCTACTCATAAAATAAAATTATTGACACAAACAGATTATTGTGAAAATATTTAATTGCATAAATATAATAAAAAAAGATAAATAAATAAATAAATAGAGAGAAAAGTAATGGAGAGGATCTCAATCCCACGTTTATTAGTTCTAACTAGCTCTATCCTCGTGCAATGCATGAGATGTCCACTGAATAAAAAGTTATGCTTAGAAATATTTATGACAAAAAAAAAAGAAAGAATACTAATACACTCATCTCAAACAATTGTGATTGAGATAGCAAAGATGAATTGCTGAACCTTAGGAGATAGAGGACAGAAAAGGAGAAATTTGTTGAATTTCTTTATAATTCATATACAACTAGGTAAATCGCTTTGTCCACAACAAAAAATAAATTTAACGTAAACATCCATTTTAGTCATTTTGGATTAAGGTGGAAGATAGAAGTGCAAAATGGAGTTTTGGGAAAAAAAAGAAGTTAAAAGTACATATAATATTCTTAAAATGATAAAATTCCCCTAACTTGAACTGCCTACAGTTGCACAATCTAATTTTCTCATAGATTGTTCCTGGACACTATTTCATTCCAAGTATTAGTCAACATATGTCATTGTGTTTGGCATTCTCTTCTAAAATAGGGTTTGTCTTCGTTGTTATCCACCCCTTCAAGAAATACCAAATAAATTTTCAAATTCGGTTCGATAAACATTAAAGGAGAAAAGTAAAATATTTTGCCTCCCCGATCACCATTTTGAGGTAAGGAACTTGATTAGAGTCTCGAAAAAAACCTGTTATTATCTTGTATCTGATCTGATGGAATGAAAAGCATCGATGTGCGTCGATTGAGCTTGATTAAATGACCTATTTAATTAAACTCTAGCACTTGGTGACTATAAGTAGAATGAAGCACTATAAATTACTTCTGCCACTAATAATATTAGAATTCCACACGATAATGCACAAATAATGCATGCAAACAAATCTATATCTTTGCAACAGTTCACGCAAATAGGTCATCTAATCAAGCTCAATTGACAAACGCTGCTGCTTTTTCTTTCCATTAGATCAGATACTAGAAAATAACAGGAATTTTCCCGAAATTCCAACAACTATAAAAATTTGTTTACGTTAAATGTTTTGCACATATGTTTTGGATTTGCTATTTATTTTCCCCAAATACCAACAACTATAAATTTTTTTTTAAAAAAAAAGCTATACATTTTAATACAAATGACAATTAAGCTCCATGAACCTTTTCTTGCTAGAGCAACTAATTCCTAATATACTAGGAAAATGAACGAGCACTTGAATTACTTCTAATTAGTAAAATTTTCTTTTTTGAAACTATACACTAAAATTACCTGGTACTGGTTGAGAAGAAAAAGTTGATTAGCACATAGAGTAGATCTATCCCTCCCCCCT